GGACGAAGCACCAGATATAATCTTTCTTAACCCACAAACACAATTTCAGCCAGGCAATGTTTTCGAGGTGAAATAGAAAGTTTGCAACAGAAAACTCCAGAAAAGTTGAATTCTTAACCATTTTTTCCTGAGAAGAAAAATCGTCCTCTGTTCTCTGGGAAGAATTCTTCTGGGAAGTTTTCCCTAAGGATAATAGGGTGAAGAAAGATTCACAGCCATTGTATAGCAAACCAGCTCAAGTAGCCACAAAGGCTATTAGCGGAACTCTTTTTCTTGGGTGAAGTTTTAGCTGGTTTCCAAATAGTCCTTAGGAACGGTTTTACGAGTTCTTGCACTCTAATGGCTCATAGAGGAGTGTATGGGAATTGGTGGTGGTCACGCATCTTTTGGTGCACTAATCGTAGCTCTGGATCTACCCGATCTCTGGATCAAATATTCCCCGAGTAGGACTTCTATTCATTCTGAACAGTTCTGATTAGATCACTGCCCGTCCATGTAAAGAAAAGGGCACGAACTTGGAATGCATGGCGTATCTTAAAAGGTAGCGTGGGCATTATCAGGTGAACCATCCTTTTTTTAATCAAATTGTCCTTATAAATCTAACTATTTTTTATTTCTACCTCAGAACTGCTACTGCATATATTTGAAGAGGTAATTTTGGCTTTTTACAAGCATTCTTGAGCACTCGGGTAGGAAAAATTATGAGCTCGAGGTACCGAGAATCTTTTGAGCTAGGCATTTGGTAAAAGTAGACTAAAAATGGCAATCAATGAGGAAATGGTAACTCGATATTACTGTAAGATTTTAAGGAATGTCAGAATGTTTTCAAACAATCTTACCAATGATGTGGTCTTTTTCGTGCATTCCGTCATGTCGTTTTCCGATGTAGGCCATTCGTATTTGAAGATCAAAGATAGTGGTGTGATACTCACATTGAAAACGGCATTTCTGAAGTTTATCTTTTTTGGATGCCNGGTACCGAGAATTTCTTTGAGCTAGGCATTTGTGGAGGGTCGTCTGGAAATGGCAAATTGCGCCTATCCACGATTATTACGAAAACAAACGACAACTCGATATTACTGTAGGATTTTTAAAAAACTAGGAGCGTTTTAAGCAAACTTACCAATGAGGTGGTCTTTTTCGTGCATTCCGTCATGTCGTTTTCCGATGTAGGCCATTCGTATTTGAAGATCAAAGATAGTGGTGTGATACTCACATTGAAAACGGCATTTCTAAAGTTAGAATTCCTTAGATGCCAATAAATAACAAGATACATTAGATATAACAATAAATAAGTCGTAAATCTAAATTTTGTGATGACGTCGTAACTCTTTCTAAATAGTATTGTGGTTGTGATATTTTATTCATCAGCGTCGTCCCTGCTCCTCCCGTCTCCTCTCCCCTCTTCTCGTTTCGGTTCTTGACGCAGTGGAAATTTTTCCATAGTAGCAAGCAAGCCTAAGCCATGATCGGGTCTGGGTCTTAGCTGGGTCAGAGGGGAGTTGCCACCGTGGTTGAAGTGAAATAAGTTTAAAATATGAAGCAAAAACAAAAGTTGGAAGTTATAAAAAGTAGAATATGATAGAAAGCCCTCTAGGAACACTAGAATAAAGCTAGAAGTGGAAATTGGAGGCTGTATGGCTGGAAAAGGGAGGAAAAAAAAGAAAAGGTCAATCCGGTAATCTAATAAATTGGGTTGCATTACGGTAGAGCACCTCGCCTAATTTCCGGTCTAATTAGTTATGGGATATTGCGATTCGGATCGTTTACGCTCAGCCGTGATCCATTTTCTGACCTGAACTACTCCCTCGGTATCGAAAAAATCCCTCCCAACCCTTCCAGAAAGAATGGATACGGTAAAATAAAAAAAAANATCATAAAAATTTTTCTAGTTTCTAAGAATTACATGAAAACTATGCTCCGATAGAAAAAAGAAATCTACCTTCCACCAAGTAGGACATATGGTCCATAGTTGTGCAACAATACCAGCGAATCATCGTTGGCGAATCGTAATCGTCCTGTTCCTACAAAAATATCGTGGTAATGTAATATATAATATATATTATGTTGTGCTTATTAGATGTTTCTTTTATTTTATTCAATTTTTCTCGGAGATATTGAAGAAAAAGGTGCAAGTTCAATCATAATACGTACGATTACCCAGCTTGGGTAACATCTGACTTGAGTAACAGAGGCTTTTTCGAAACGAATTTCAAACGGGTTTCCAAATTGTCCATGGGAACGACTTCGAGAGGATAAAAAATTTTCCAAGTCTGTTCCCTGGGAAAGCCTGAAAGGACTTTGATAGCTGTTATGCACAATATTTCTTTGGTGAAAGGGTGAGCACATATTGGGGGTCCCGCTATTACTTTGTTTGTTTACTTACTTTCTTATTTATCCACCTTTCTAATGACCTAGTCATTTACTTATTTACCTCAAACTTCATGCTGTATAATGGGGGGCAGTAATCGCGAGGCGTTAGCCCATTCTGGGAGGTGAAGGGAAAGAAATGAAGGAAATGGGAAAGGAAAGCAAGAAAAATAAATGAATGAGTGGATGTATTGGGGGGGGGCAGTCCAAAAAGGTGCAAGTAAGCTCCAAGCTGCAGCAATTCAGTAATGGCAACTTAGTTTTTGTTGATTGTAATGCCAATTTTGTGCAGTCCTTGTACAGATAGAACTTTGAGGCCGTTCTAGTTCACAGTTCATTTAATTTTCGCCATTGACCCAGTAATCGCAAAGTGCAGGGTTATGATCGACAAAGGTTAAAGGCACAATTCACGATAAAAATGGTTTCTGAGATTCCCCAAGAGGATGAATTCGAGGCCCCCGCGTATACCTTATCTGGCACTATTAGGTCGGAAAATAGTCTAGTTAGAAAGTTATAATGGCTCAAAGATTGGCCCATGTGTATCCTTGGACGAGTTTCGCAGACTATAGAGGCTGACCGATCACAAGAGAACCCAAGGAAAGTTGTGTAGGAAGTTCAACAACTTGTCATGACCCATAACGACAATGAAAGGCAGTTCTATACAGATCTGGCTTGATGTAGTCAACTATTTGTGCAATTGCAATAACTGAAATCTCGTCCGAATACTCCTTCCGTATTATTTCTGCCATGACAATCTCGTCCAACCTCTATTTTCGCTAATTTTGAGAGCCATATTTTTCTCAAAGCGGCGAATTCTCTCGCTTTTCACTATCCTATCTATATTTCCGCTTTTCGAATAAAAACGGGTACCTCAAAATTATCGTGAACTGTGCCTTCAAAATCGTTTAAGTGGTTCTGTTCGAGTACCGCACGTAGATAGTGCTCTAGGAGCTTCAGTTTAGCTCCTCCTAACTTCTGATAAGATATATCCATGTGAGGATCGTTCTACCTACTTATATATTCAGTTAAATTTTAAAGTGATGCGCCTGGTGCTTTCCCCACGAAATATATTACTTTGCTTAACTTTGTCCTTTTTTAATCGTACATGCAAGATTTCAAAGGCTTGCACCTAATCTCCTGCCGCTCCGTCCCCGTTCCCCAGTCCAACGAGGCGCTTCAAAGCCATTATTTCAAGTCTTCTCTTCTAGCAAAAGTGCATATCCTAAAAACGTCAAGATAAGACCCCAGGATAGGATTAAGGCGTCACATAAAAGCTGATTCACTTCTGCTTCATAGGAACAGCCCTCTCGTTCCAGCAAGCTGCAAAATGCCATTACTTTGCAAGAATCTTCAGTGGCAGTAATCCCTCTTGACAAGTGCTTCATTGAGGATCAGTATTGGCTATGAGGTTATTTGCAAACTTTATGAATAGGAATCTTTGAGAGGGTTCATTCTTGGAGTCTAAATAGTATTGGTTCAATAGAATAAGGGCAAAAGTAATAACAAGAAGTAGTAATAGTAGCAGTAACAGAAGTAATAATGGTTATACTGGTGGGCTGAATCGCATTATTCAGCAGCGGTCGAGCCCAGGTAACCCGAACAAATGCTGAGAGTTAGGGGGCTCTCGGATTCTCTCTACGACTAGTACTACGAAAAGACTTCAGAAAATTAAACCTTTTCTTCTTTTCAATCGAAAATTGGCAACTTCCGGAGACATTGCCCGTCTGCAACTTTAGATTTCACGGTAGCAGGATGTTAAATTTGATAAAACATGGTCATTCCTATTGGGGATTCCTCCCGATTCATCCCGGATAGCATAAAACGATCCCACACCTCTGAGAGCTTGGCTGGGATGAGAATGAGACTACCAGATAAAGTTAAGAATCTACACGCTGTAATGTGAGGCCCCAATTTCCATGTAAATATCGGTAATTAGGATTAAGATTAAATTGTACGTTCAGTATGATGGTTATGCGAAACGACATTTCCAGAAGTGTACTTTGTCCCGTGCCCTGGCACCATTTTGGAGCTACTCAATCTCGTCCTTTATTTAGAGGTCCTTTGAGGCTTCAGTCTCCCTTCCTGTCATCATATCTGCAATTTCCGGAGGTTTCCGTTTGACATCCTCAGTTCAGATTTCCTTTTCAGTCCCTTTTTCGATTTAAGTCGCCCTTCGAAAGCCCTTGCATGTGTACTTACTTGAGGACATGGTTTCCCACTGAGGTCAATGGAGAAAGATACCCAGGTATCGTCCCGGTTTTTTGCGGTATGACTTACGGGGGGCTCTCCAGAGATGGCTTTACCTTCAGTGGACAAAATATAAACGCAGTAATGCAGTAACACCAACTTGGAGGTAGTGGGAGCCCCCTGGGACGGGAGGAAGGGACTTTTACAATTTCATCCATTCTGGTAAGAAGGCAGTGTAAGACTAGGAGGTTGGTAGCAAAGAGGAAGTCTCCAAGGACATCATTTGATAAAAAAAAACTTGAGATCGGAAAAGTTGTAATCTGAACAACATTTTGGAAACATAAAAACAAAAGCCATAAAACGAAATGGGGCGGGAAGCCAGATGTGGTTCCCCGACCTTGGCAAAGGCACATTCACGAGACCATTCATTTACCAGAACTAGTAAAAAGTACAATTCCGAAACGTACCATTAGAGAAATCGAAGGATTGAGGTGTAGAAGAAGAAGGCAACAACGCGGAGGCGACCACGATGACAGCGGCAGTGGCGGCGACAACGGGCAAAGTGACGATCATGAACCAGTCGTTGGTAGACAGCGGATCATTTGCTCGAGACGGTCAGAAAAACGGTGAAGAGTACAGACTCAGTAAACAAAGTCGTACACAAATCTTGGCCTAAGCATAGCCCGAATGCTGTCCTTGTACGTAGGTGTGTGCTTTGCTGAAAAAAAATGAAAATGGATCGGCGTTAAGATCGGTATTTACGATATCGCCCCAATTGGCACAGATTGACGAAGTGAGAAGATCGGCACGGAGACAATACACAGAAACAAAGCGAAGCGGAACAAGCTGGGCCCCAACCTCCGCCTCGCTACCGCCAAGCGGCTTGAGGTGGCTTGAGGTGGCTTGTGACATGGCGTCGAAATGAGCCAGCCTGCCAGCCAGTCAGCCAGCCAAGCGGCCAGCCGTTCTTTTGCCGTTGGCTGAACGCTTTTCGCCGCCCATCGAAGACGACAGCTGTCCAACGCTTCTTACACTGCCGTTGGCTATTGTTCGGATTTTTTCAACTGCCATTTAGAAGTGATAGTCGCCCAGAGTGACTATGCGACAGGCGATGACGGCGTCCGTAGCAAAGCTAAATGAAATGCACGTGGGGACGAGGATAAAAAATTGGGTTAGCAAGTCAAAGAAAATTGGGAGACGAACTGGAGCATGGACATGGTCATCAGCCCAGGCTGGTGAAGCCGGAAAGGACAGCAGTAGTGCTTAAGCTCTGGCAACGTCACATAGCACCTAAACGGTACAGGAGAGGGTGTGGGCGTAACTCCCTGACGTAATGTGTTCTCATTAGCCCGAGAAATCTTTACAAGGCACGAAACGCAGGAACAGTAAACGCAGTAATGAGGAGCATCGGCCGTACCAAGCCGTCCTGCCCACACTCAATACCTACCCAGGCTAATGAGGTCTTCATCCTTTTGGGGTTAAATGGTTCATCTACAAGGACTGCGGTGGCCAACCGATTGTCACATCAGAGCTTTTACCCTCTCAGACGAGTTGGGAAGGTAAGAGCTTTGACTTGTGAATACATCGGCTGGCCACCGTTAGTCGTTGAGCCACTACGATTTGGGGCGGGAGTCGAATGCAGGGCGCATCCCCAGAACAGATGCAAAGGACATAGAATCTTTCCCTGTCCTTTCCCTCACGGGAGGCGCGTACTAAGTCTCCCGAGCAGGTTGGAGTGTGCACAACAGCTGCTGTTAATTAGTTAATCGTTAAGCAGTAGGAGCATTCTTCGAGTTAATCGGTAGAAGAATGACAGCGGCAGTCTGACAAAGTTTTTTTGGAGTGGAATCGGCGGTGTTTGCGGAAAGCTATGAACACTACCAAAAAGGTGACGAATTCAGGATTTGTGCGCCATGCATTCAACTTCTATTCAGAATCGTGATGATGTTGTAATGCATTTAAGATACATAGGAGCAAACTATCGGTGCAGGGGAGGGGTTTAGCCGATAAATGGGGCGGGATTTGTATCATCCCAGCCAGGTCGTCGAGGTGAAATACCTCGGCAGTATTGGTCCGGCAGGTATTTGGTCGGA